TCTCTCTCTCTCTCTCTCTCTTCTCTCTCTCTCTTCTCCCTCCCTCCCCCTCCCTCGTCCTCCCTCCCTCTCTCTCCCCCATCTATCTATCAACCTTCCCCCTTCCCACCCCATTTCACCTTCCCCCTTCCACTTACCTGAAACTTCAACACAAACCCTCATTTCACCCTCAGGAAATGAACGTCGTGGCGGACGTGACGTTCCCAGCGCCCCCTGTGGTCGTTTCTCTACGTGACTACGACATACCCTACGCTGCCCCACTACCTGTGCCCGGATACCCTGTGATCTGCGTTACGGTTAGTTAGAAGTGGAGGACTTGTTTTCTGTGTTATTGTTGAGTGTATGTCATAGCGTGTTTTCTGTCTTATTGTTGTGTTATTATTATTGTTATTTTTAGATTTATGCATTTATTTATTTTTTAACATTTTTTAAAGATGATCGTTTTTCTTAATATTGGCAATGGTCTCTTCTCCTAACAGAGTCTTGGATCATTTCTCATAATACTGACATATTTTTTCTCTTATTGACATTTTTCTCGTGCCTTTCCACATTTTCTTTCATTTTGACATTGCTCTTCGGATCAAAATAATAACATCAGCATCAGAGAATTTACAATTTTCGCCGTTCTCTCCCAGGCGTGTGACCCCAAGCACCCGGACTTCGAGGTGACGGGGCCCCTGTGCGCTCGTCAGGGGATCAACCAGACGTTCTCCTCCTTCAGGTGGCGAGTGGCCGCTCCTTCAGGATACGATGGGGTCAGCAAGGATCTGAAGGACGTCTCTTCTGATACGTTTTTCACCAGGTGAGATGAGGGAAGGATCTCTCGACGCGGTTGCTAAAAAAATGGGATGTACTCTGAACCATTGCGTGACTGGGATAAGTTCAAAGTTGAACCGTATTCATGTTGACAAATGCAGAGAAGGTATGAATGAGAAAGAATATCTTGTAGAAAGGTATGAATGAGATGTATTGACCGGTTCGAATATATCTTCGTCAGAAATATATTCGAAAACCGATCAAATACACATCTCTTGTATTGTGAAGACAATATTCCTTCTCATTCATATTCTACAAGATATTCCTTCTCATTCATACCTTCCTACAGATATTCCTTCTTCAATTCTACAAGTTTCTCGCCTATTGTCTCAAAATCACAATGAAAATCAATAACGCAATCTCTCTTTTCCAGCACTCGAAGCATAACGTTAGACAGCGTGTATTTCTCCACCGGAAGCCGCGTGCAGTGCATAGCCCGCGCGTACTCCGTGGACGGCGACGCGGGTTTGGAGTCGTCCTCGGCGCCCGTCAGCATCAACCGGGAAGGCGGTTTGTGTCCTCCGAGGTACGAGGGGACGTTCGGCGCCGATCCCTTCACGGCAAAGCTGCAGTACACAGGTGAGAGACGTCGTGGGTTTGAGTCAGATTATTGTATGCTAGTAAGGGACTTTTTCGTGTCGATGTGCCTCCGGGAATGAAAGTTAAAGATTACGGAATAACTTTTAGGAAAGAGAGGGAGAGGGAGAGGAGAGGAGAGGAGAGGAGAGAGAGAGAGAGAGAGAGAGAGAGAGAGAGAGAAGAGAGAGAGAGAGAAGAGAGAGGAGAGAGGAGAGGAGAGAGAGAGAGAGAAGAGGAGAGGAGAGAAGAGAGAGAAATGAAAATAAACAAAAGTCACACAATAATCCCTTGACAAATTCTGAAAAACCTCCACCGAGACGAATAAACAATAAAACTCACACACACACGCACACGCACACCCACACCCACACACAACCCCACCCCACACCCACCCCCCTCACACCCACACCCACAACCCCACCCCACACCCACACCCCACACACAACCCCACCCCACCCTCTCCCACACCCACACCACAAACCCACCCCACCCTTCTCCCACCCCCCACACCCACCACCCACCCACCCTTCTCCCGCCCCCACACCCCCCACCTTTCTCCCACCCCCCACACCCACACACACACCCTTACAAAACCTTTCCTTCACCTCCTCCTCCCACCCCACACCCACCCACAACCCTACCCCACCCTTCTCCCACCCCCACCCCACCCCTTCTCCCACCCCTCCCCACACCCCCACACCCCCACACCCCCCTTACAAACTTCCTTCACCTCCTCCTCCCACCCCACACCCACCCACAACCCTCCCCACCCTTCCCCCACACCCCACACACCCCCACACCCCCCTCACAAACCTTCCTTCAGCTCCTCCCTCCCACCCCACACCCACCCACAACCCCCAATCCCACCCTTCTCCCGCCCCACACCCACCACACAACCCCACCCCACCCTCTCCTCCCCCCCCACACCCCCTTACAAACCTTCTTTCAGCTCTCCTCCCACCCCACCCCACCTTTCTCCCACCCCCCCCTTTTTCCCACCCCCACACAATCCCAACCCCACCCCCAAACCCACCCACACACCCCTTACAAACCTCCTTCAGCTCCTTCTCCCACCCCCCACACACCCACAACCCCAACCGCACCCCCCTCCCGTTCTCCCGCCCCACCCCCCATCCCACCTTCTCCCACCCCCACACCCCCCCACACCCCCCCCTCACAAACCTTCCTTCAGCTCCTCCTCCCACCGGAATCCCGCAGACCCGACGACGAGGACCTCCCCAACCTGGTCCGCCGTCGAGGTGCGATTCCTCACAAGGACGGCATGATCCCCGTTCCTGTCGACCCGCGCCCTCACCAACTTCGAGCTCACGCTGTTCCAGGACGGCATCAGGCATAGGCAATCACCGCTGCTCCAATCTGCGATTTCCATGAGGTAAGTGGCCGATTTTTGTGTGATTTTATATTTATTTGTTTATTATTTTTATTATTATTATTATTATTATTTTTTAGAGAGAGAGATTCAGAGATTTTTTTGTGTGGAAAAGAAGTTTTAGAGATTCTGAGTGTTTTTTTTTTATGGAAAAGGAATTTTAGAGATTCTGATTTTTTCTATATTGAGAGTTTTTAGAAATTACTTTGCAAGAGGTTTAAGGGATGGAAACTTCCTGTATGCATGAAGTTAAAAGATTTGTCATAAAGATTTTTTGTATATAGAAAGACAATTTTTTTTGTGTCGTGCGTTATAAATGTGTTAAAAATCAATTATTCCCTTTTCGTTTTCCAAATCTTATTACAGTGAGGATTTGAAGAATTCAGGGCATTTCCCTAAATCCAAAAAGCATATTATAACAGCTCAAAGGGAAAATCTCCAAACAACAGAGGAAAATTACAGATAGAAATACCTCTTACTGAAATTATCTTTTTTTTTTTATTGAATTTTGTCAACAAATACAATTGCAAAACACAAAACAAAGCAGAAAAGCACCTCATTCTCGTGTTCTAAAAAATTTCAGAACCATCAAAAAACCAAAGCATAACCTTAAAACATCTCTCCTTTAAAAAATTTACAACAATACAAAAACAAATAGAAAGAAAAGAGGAGAAAGAAAAAGAAATATACATATCTATAGAAAAAAGAAAGAATACGTGTGAAAAAAAAATAGAAAAAATTATATTACATTTCACAGGATAAAAAAAAGGGAGAACAACAAGAAAGAAAAAAAAAAAAAAAAAAAAAAAAAAAAAAAAAAAAAATATAAAAAAAAAAAAATATACAACCTATTTAGAAAAAAAGAATAAGTAAAAAAGAACACACAATCCAATAGAAAAAAGAGAAGAGAGAAAAATAGCTAAGAAAGATAAGAAGTGTACATCTAATAAAAAAAAAAACAAAAAAGAAAAAAGAAGGTTATCTACGTTCTATAGAATAAAAAAGGAAAAACAAAAACAAAAGAAGAAAGAAAAGGAAAGAAATTTATACTTCTATTAGAAAAAAAAGAAAAACAAAAACAAAGAAGAAGGAAAAAGAAAGAAAAAATATACTTTATATGATAAGAAACAAAAAAACAAACAAAAGAAAAAAGTATAATCTATTAAAATAGAAATTAAAGGAAATTCAATCTTAGAAAAAAAGAAAAAACGAAAGAAACAAAAAGAAATAAATATACACATCTATCTATTAATCCCCATAATCCTCTTTTTTTTTATTCCTCCCTCTCTTCCAGGTTGCGAACCGACCACCGGATTGACAACAGAGATCCAGAACTCCCACTGTTGAATGAAATGAGCCTTAATCAGTATTCCAGCTAATCTTCTAAAGTCCTGCATCGCTAGGTGAAAAAGCTTTCTCAATCTTAGTCTCTTATTTTTGTTCACTTGTTCTTGGATTGTTCATTGAAGTTTTACTCTCTTTGTTTCACTTGTTTTTTCGATTTTTCAGATGCGGGCGTGAAGTTTTTTTTAAATCTATTTGTTTCACTTGTCGTAATGTGGTGGAATTTTGTAGCGCGCTCGTTGTGTTGTTCACTTGTTTTTCTATTTTTGTTTTTTTTTTACTCTATTTTGTTTCACTTTATTCGTGCATTTGATGGTTTTTTTTTTTTTTACTCTATTGTTCACTTTTTGTGATTTTGTGAAGTTTTTAAAACTCCTATTTCTTCTTTTCTCGGATTTTGGTGTTTTTTTTTAAACTCTAGCGACGTGTGTGTTGATTTTGTCGTGTTTTTTTTTACTCTATTAGAAATTTCACTTTCTTTGGTGATTTTTTTTTTTTTTTTACTCTATTTGTTTTTGCTCAGTATCGTGTTTGTGTTTTTTTTTTTTTACTCAATTTGTTTCACTTTTTGTGATTTGGTGAAGTTTTTTAAACTCTATTTTTTCATTTTCTTCGTATTTTGGTGTTTTTTTTACTCTATTTGTTCACTTTGTTTCTGATTTTGGTGAAAGTTTTTACTCTATTTGTTTGTTCACTTGTTCCTCTATTTCGTGATTTGGTGAATTTTTTTACTCTATTTTGATTCACTTTGTTCGTGGGGATTGTGGGGTGAGAGTGTGTTACTCTTATTTGTTCACTTTGTTTCGTGATTTGGTGTTTTTTTACTCTTATTGTCACTTTTGTTTCTTGATTGGTGTTGTTGTTTTTTTACTTGTCTCTTCTCCTGGTTGTTCGATATTGTGTTTTTTTTGGTTTTACATTCTATTTGTGTCGTTCTTTTTTCTGTGGATTGGTTTGTAAGTTTTTTTTTATCTTCTTGTTGCAGCGTTGTTTTTTCAGTCGGATATCCGGCGAGTAAGGTTTGTTTACCTTCTCCTATGGAATATTTGTGTCACTGTTCGTTTCCGTCCTCTAATAATATTTTTTATTTCGTTACTCTATATGTTTCGCACTTCTCTGCCTCTTGTTTCAACCAAGTATTTGTTTGGAATGTGTTTATATTGTTTTTTTTTATACTCCTTGTAGTTGTTCATCTCTGTGTCGATTGGTTCACCATATTACAATTCATACTTATTTAGTTAATCCTATCGTACTAAAGATTTCGCTTGCCAGAAAAATTACAAAAAGGTGTTTTTTTTTTTTGGGTTACTCTATTTGTTCACTTTGTTTCCGAATTTTTGGGTGTGTGTGTTTTTTGTTTTAACTCTATTTGTTCACTTAGTTCTCGTAAACAAGATTTTTGTGTTTTTTTTTTACTCTATTTGTTTCAACTTTTGTTGTTCGGGGGTTGATTTATTTTTTTTTACATCTATATTGTTTTCAACTGTTTACGTGATTTTTTTTTATTTACTCTATTTGTTTCTTTCACTTTGTCATTCGTGAGTGTGTGGGTGAGAGTTTTTTACTTCTATTTTCTTCACTTGGTTAATACCCGTGATTATTTTTGAACATAGTTTATTTTTTTTTACCTTCAAATTGTATTTTTCTACTTTGTTTTTTCGGCGTGGATTTTCGTGCGTTTTGTTTTTTTTTTACTCTAAAATGTTTCACTTTTTTCTGAGTGGTGGTGGATTGAAGTTTTTTTACTCCTCTATTTGTTCTCTTTCCCCACTTGGTTTCCGTAATTTGGCCGTGGGGAGGTTGGTTTTTTTTACTCGTATGTTTTTATTCACTTTGTTTTCGTGTTCGTGGGTTTTTCTTTTTTTTTTTTCTTTTTTTTACCTCTTATTTATGTTCATCACAGATTTAGTTTCACTTTGTTCGTTGAAAATTTTTTTTTTTTTCTTACTCTATTTGTTTCAACCTGTTGTTTCTCGATTTTTTGTTTTTTTTTTTACTCTAATTCTTCTTTCCACTTTGCTTTCTACGTATAAATATTTTGGTGTTTTTTTTTTTACTCTATCCTCTATTTTTTCATTCGTTGGCTCTGCCGTGATTGTGTGTGTTGTTTGGGTAGCGTGCGATTCTGTTCCACTTTTGTTATTCGTGATAATTTTTTTTTTTTTACTCTTATTTGTTTCACTTTGTTTTCGTGATTTTTTTTTTTTTTTACTACTATTGTTATTTCACTTTGTTTGGCGTTGATTTGTGAGAAAGTTTTT